GATACCCCCCCTACCCCCCCCTCACCCGGAAGAGAATAAAACCCTCTCCGCCTCGGCAGCCCCCCAAGGTCGGCGGAAACCTGCTCCTCCTAAACCCTAAACCCACAGTGGATTTACTGGTCCATGTGTTGTACATCCTGCTCGGGGCTTATATGGAATAGGGGAAAGGAAGCCTTTGCAGCTAGTAGTCCTGCTATGCATACATATGTATATAGATATACAACTATTTATCTGTTTCTATGTACATAGAAACTGTATACTGCCACAACCCACCGGCAGCTGGATAATAATCTGTATATATGAATATGTACAGCCGCTACTAGGGCCCCTACTATAGATTGTTACTGGATGGGGGATATGTAGGACTTGAAATCTATATATATGTATATATATCTATGTATTTATTTATTTATTACAATACAACCCGGAATCGTATGTCCCTGTATATTACATTTTGTGGACTCTCCACCCTGTAATAGTGGCATAATAGGAATATGAGAGGACCCTACTGCAATAGAAACAGCAGTATGCCTTCAACTCACTTTTACTTGGTGGGGGGTCCAGCTAACCATACAAATACATGCTGCCATGCAGTGCTTTGCCGATCAAAGGCTTGATCGTGTAGGGTGTAGTGTTTCGTAGCTCCTTACTTCTTGCGCTTCAAACGTGGAGCGTTGGGCATTTCAGCGCGGAAGACTTTCGCTTTGTATGGTGTCAGTCCCGAAGCCCTGAGGCCCCCTACAGTTCCTAGGCCTCCCCTGCGCCGCCGCAACAACTAAAACCAGCAACTCCAAACACTAAACCTTTAAATCAAGAGAACTCCTTCAGAACCCCTACATATCTCCATGAATCATCCCTATACCACCATTCAAGCGGACGCAACCAGTCTTATCTCCGACCCAGGACTCTGGCAGAGCTCAAGCAGAGAGCGCCGCTTGACTCAGCCTTCATCGTGAGAGGTACTTGTTGGGGTTCAGGGTTTAGGGTTTAGGGGTTTAGGGGTTTAGGGTTTAGGGGTTTAGGGGTTTAGGGTTTTAGGGGATGCGGCCATCAAATCGAGATTATTATACCGTAGGTCTGGCCAGGGATCCCTATAGAAGGGGATATGGGGGTTTCCAACACTTAGGCGTTTGAAGTTTTCTGGTCTACTGTACGGTTGTCGTAGGATCTAGCAGGTTCAGGGTTTGAATCACAGTTAAAGGATCGAAGCTTCTCAATCCCAAAGACTCCAAGTCTTTCAAGAGCTCAGGGCCCCAACCCTAAACCCTAAACCCCCAAACCTTTCACGTTTCATCCTGAACCTCTAGGCTTCCAGGTGGCCTCGAGCCCCTAAAGGCTTACCCCTGGTCCTCTGTAGAGCCCAGGGCAAGATGCACTGAGACCATTGTACTTCATGCCTAACATCCTGTGCTCTTGAGCACCACTGTACCCAGGCTAGATAAACCCTATACTCCCTAAAATCCCTACAGCCCCATAGACTCCATAAATCCTAAACTGAGGTGTAGAGACCAAACCCCCCCCCCCAAAAAAAAACTAAGCCTTCACTCCATGCCCTTACCGAGAGGTTCATGGGTAGGTGTAAGTAGCTAAAGTGATAGGTGTATGGATACAACCCCATTGAGGGTTTGTATTACCTAACAAGGAAAACTACTTCGAATAGTCTGAAAGCCTAAACCCAAAAACCATAAACCCTAAAACCCTCCTAGTGCTACTAGTAGCTGTATTCTTGTTATTATGGTCATTATTACTACTACTGTCACTCGTACTCCAATTAATTCTATACCCATTGGTTAGGAGGACCCCCCACCCTATAATAGTGGTATAGTAGGAATATAAGAGGACCTTAATATAGTCCCTATTATCCATTATACTCACTATTACTGGGTGGGGGGTCCTAAACCCTAAACCCTAAACCCTAAACCTAACCCATTGGCATTACCCCAGGCAAGATGCGCTGAATGCCAACCTCAGTGCCTTGGCCACCGCAGATGGCCGCCTCCTTCCTCGAAGCGGCCCCTCCATGCGGGTTAAGGGTTCAGGGTTTAGGCTTTAGGGTTTTAGGGTTTTAGGGTTAAGGGTTCAGGGTTTAGGATTTTAGGCTTTAGGGTTTGGAGTTTGGGGTTTAGGGTTCAGGGTTTAGGGTTTGGGGACTCCAGGATTGAGGACTTTCAGGGGTTTGGCAAAGGTTCCAGGTCGGGGCCCAGGTATCTGTATAGGATACACTTGCGGTGCAAGGTGTTTAGGATTATAGGTAGCTTAGGTTGAGGAGGTTTCCGGTGTATGCAAGCAGTCACTGCGGAGAATGCAGGGGAGCCGGGTGTAAGAGTTTTGAGGGCTTTTGCTTTTCGATGTCTGTTTTGGGTTAGGGAGCGTAGGGGGCGTAGGGAGAGAGGGAGAGAGAGAGAGAGAGAGTGAGAAATAGAGAGAAGAGAGTAAGGATTCAGGACTCGGGATTGCGGAATGTGTTGTTCTACCCTAGGATGGCTGCCGAGGTCCACATAGTGGGATCCAAGCCATCGAAGAGACCAAAACAGCATCCCAAAGTAGTTCTGCTATGGTCAGAAGGAGAGCCGAAAACCATGCCCCAAAGCCCAAAACTTACAAAACCCCAGTTTCTGTGCTCTAGCTGCTTCCATTCCCTTATTTACCTGAAAATATGGTAGTCACACACAAATTTTGGCTCAAGGCTCAAGTGCTGGTCAATGCGGCAATCGCCCAACGGATCCGACTCTGGATTTGTCCTTACTTGTGCCATGGCCCCCTCTCCTGGTTTCCTGGCGCGCTGCTTCTGCCGTCTGCTGCTCTCGGCTGTGGTGGCATGCAAGTGGTCTGCTGCGGTCGACCCTGGCGCGTGGTGTGCTGCTGAGCCTAGTTGCCCGGATGAACGACGCGGCCATGCGCTGCCCCCGGCCTGGAACCGGCGGCAGCGGCAACGGGCCTCATGCTTCGTGGGGCATGTCACTGCCCGGCCTGCCTGGAATCCTCTATCTGGTTTCGGTCAAGCTGCATCATCGTTGCCGGCGACTCTGCCAAGCCCAGCGCCGTTCCTGGTGCCGCCAACGCCTCCATCGCCGCTGCGGCCTCCGTGGTGTTCGCGTGGGGGGGGCCCGCAACCCTGGCCCGACCCATGATGCTTCGGCTCGCCCGCGGTCGCCCGCCGACGCCGATCGGCCGTCACATCGCAGACGTGTGTCAGCTGCCAGCAGCCACAACTTAGTTTTCTGCCCGGTCGCTGGCTGCTGCAAAGGGGACCCGGAGCGGTCCAGCGGTTGGTCGTCACACCAAGGCCTCCGGCACCACCTCGATGACCATTGCTCTGGGGTTTATTCGGGGGCCATCCCGCAACAATATCTGGACGAGCATGGACTTGACCTCTGCAGTGTTTGCGGCCTCACCGTCAAGCTGCAGTTTAATGGCTGCCACCCCCGGTGTCGGCCAACTGCCTTCGGTGGCTTGATGGGGAGCGCTGCGGCCTGTGGGAGGAGCTTTGTGCCCGCAGGCCGGCCCCAACCCGTCAGACGCTCGAGGCTCGCCACTCACGCTGCAAGCGCCTTGCGGCTGAGGGTGACCTCTCCCGTGCCTGCACTGCCCTTACTGCCCCGCCTGCCCTAGCCCCTAGTCCCGACACTTTAAGTAGTCTCCAGGCTAAGCACCCTCAAGCGCCTCTTCCTGACTTGGACGCTCTCGGCCCGCCGCGCCCTGGTGCTGTCCCAGACTTTGACACCCAGGCAGTTGCTGAGGCAGTCCGTGGCTTCAAGCGTGGCTCGGCGCCCGGCCCTTCCGGCCTCCGTGCCGACCACCTGCGCGAGGCCCTCCTCAGCGCGCACGCCGATGAGGTTGTTACCAACTTGGCCGCTTTGTGTCAGCTGCTTGCGATGAGGCGCCTGCCACCCTGGCGCCGCACCTTGCCGGGGCCACTCTGCACGCACTTCCTAAGAAGCAGGGGGGTGTTAGGCCCATTGCTGTAGGGGAGGTTTTGCGTAGGTTAGTGGGGAAATTGTTGTGCCAGGCTGTGCGTGAGGAGTCCCGGGCTTACCTCTGGCCTTTGCAAGTAGGTGTAGGCGCCTTCAGGCTGTGAGGCTGCCGTG